TCTCTCTCTCTCTCTCTCTCTCTCTCTCTCTCTCTCTCTCTCTCTCTCTCTCTCTCACACACACACACACACACACACACACACACACACACACACACACTCTTCCATCCGCCAACTTTCCCCTTCTTAAGCCTAAGCTAAACCCTTCACACCTTTTTCATCTTGGCATGTGACTAACCCATGCCCGTTCACTTGTCACATTGCCAGGGGTCAAACAGTGAAAGAACTTGATCTTACTTGGTGGAGAAAGAGGGCAAGGGGAGGGTTGCCGGTCCCTTGCACCACCAAGAGGATAAAGACTTGAGTGTTGAAAGGACTTGAGGGTGAAAAGGACGTGAGAATTGAAGAGATTTTGAGGAACGGAAGGACTCGAGTATTGAAAAGACTTGCTGATTGAAAGAAAGGTCAGTGGACTCGACCAACACCCCAAATGCATGAGAAAGACTTGCTGATTGAAAGAAAGGTCAGTGGACTTGACCAACACCCCGAGTGTATGAGAATGAGAAGAGAATGTCCAAGACAAGGAAGAGGAAAGGAAAGAAGGAACTGATTGAGTATGCAGGTGAGTAGCTCTCTAAAGTGCCTCAAGCAGGACGACACCCGGTGAGACCGGGCGGCGGAAGGAAAGAGAAGCCAAAAATTGGGTTGTGAGTAACCCTCGGCCATGGATGAGCCTTTGGTTGTGTACGGCCCTCCCTTGGAAAAAAAAGAGGGTCAAGTGACTGGACTTTGGCAAGGATGATTGGATCGATGAAAGTGTCCCTTGAGCATGTGGGAGGGGCCCCCAAAAGTTTAAGGGGCGTATAGAGAAGTGTCGGAACAAGATATGCGAATGAATGATTATTGCCAGGCGCGTAGGATGTGAGCGCTTAGATCGGCAAGAGGCGGGGAACAAATGGGGCACCCTGGTGAGGCAACATGGGCCACGTGACTTAGTCAGCGGGCCTAAGCCGAGGGGCGAGTTCCTTGTCTTGTCGAAGCCGCTAGACTCCGCACCTAGGAAATGGATGCGTGGCCCAAGGAGGATGCTTGGCCTACGCATAAAGGAAGATGGACTCTCAAAGAATCCCTTGGACTGTTTGAGTATTGGAAAGAGCAATTGCTTGCAAACACAATAAAGCATAGCTACGCCGGACCGGACCCAGGACCGATTTCGGACCCCGGACCCCGGACCTCCCGGGCCCATCCAGACTTCCGAGAAACCGGAATATTTTGGAATTTTCGGACCGGTCCGGACCCCTGGTCCGGATCCCCTATACTGTCCGGGAAAAAAAAAAAAGAAAAAAAAAAGCGCCACTGCTCCTACTTCTCAGTTAAAGTGTGTCATCCATGTGTAGGGACCATGCTAATCTTTTCCTTCCAATTTTATTGAATGTCCCAAGGGCAAGATTAGCATGGCCCCTGCGCCAAGATGACACGCATTTATTGAGAAATGGACCAAATAAAAAATAAATAACCCAAAAAGGAGGAGGAGTAGGGGGAGGAGATGAGGAGGAGGAAGACAAGAAGAGAGGAGGAGAATGACAAAGGAGTACAGGAAAAAAAAAAATTGAGCCCACGTATTCCTTGTTGAATAGTCTTTTTCCTGAAGGACCCCAACAGTGCATCTGCGAGGGTCCAACATCTCAAGAGACATTCGGCAAATTTCGTGTGAGAGTGGAGGAGGCCAGCAATATATGTTCTGGATCCGAAGTCAGGTATGCTGTCCAGCAATTATGGGTTACAAGTTACAACTACTTGCTCCCGTAGCTCTCTCTTTCTTTTGTTTCGTTTTCCTACAAGCAGTGCCCCTAAGGGCCTTGCTCCACTCGTCACTACTTGCACAAAAGACAAAACATATAGCGGCGTATGGTTCCATGTTCTAGCAGAAGATTCATTCCTCT